GGCTCCAACCGGCACTAGCGGGGAAACAGCGAAATCCGTTTTTTCAACCGTCACTTATATTCGTACGAATTTTTTCGTCCGGGTTTTTGGTTCGTCGATTTGGTGGAAACCCCAAACTGTTTCCGAGTTTTCTATGTGTGATGGAAAAAAATTCCCCGGCACCAACAGCAGCAGTTGAAGAGAACACCGCGCAATGTCTAGTANGGGCTCCAACCGGCACTAGCGGGGAAACAGCGAAATCCGTTTTTTCAACCGTCACTTATATTCGTACGAATTTTTTCGTCCGGGTTTTTGGTTCGTCGATTTGGTGGAAACCCCAAACTGTTTCCGAGTTTTCTATGTGTGATGGAAAAAAATTCCCCGGCACCAACAGCAGCAGTTGAAGAGAACACCGCGCAATGTCTAGTATTGGACCAAAAACGGACTGAACGCCGCTTCTGCCGGTTGTCCATCTCCACAACAGACCTGGACGTACGTTAGTCTGGCAGGCCTTTCTAGCGTTCTCAGTGATGTAACAGTGCCCGCGGTGCACCTGTCCGATGCTTCTGTCAAAAACTCGGATCCGTGAAGTAGCAAGCCCCGAAAAATCCCGGCTCCTTCTTTTCACGTTTCCGGGGAAAAACGCCTCTGTATATGTTCAAGAAAACACGCTTCCCGTGAAATGTTCGTGTTTTTTTTGTCGTTGAGAACCACCCTTCCTTTTAGATATACAAGCTATATTTCTATACTAATTTCAAGTATTTTCACCTTCTTATTCTCCGTCATACAAACAAAACGGCCGATGGAGCAAAGGCCTAATGTTGGCGTCAATCCTCAAAGGTCAACATTCCGCGTCATTCCATGGTGGATACCCTATATTGTTTGCAAGTTGTACCGGGTTGTTTTGGAGCGCAAAAACCCACCGAGTTACCAGTCAACTCTCCATTGTAACGTTGCCCCCGCGAATAAATCTACAGTAGCATTTATTCTTTGTTTTTGTTTTTTGTCTTCACTTCAAATCAGCGCTTGCAGCACTGGTGCCGTGTACTCCAACCCGTGGTCGCACAGGGGAGCCCCTCTCTACCCCCCCCTCCTGCGGTCCTTTGCCTTTGATTTTTAATGCGAGAAGAGTTCAGCGCGCTCTTCCCTCTCTCTGTGTACAAACGAACTAAATAGCGCTATCCACTAGACTAGGCCAGGAGCGGAAGCAAGAGAAAAACTCACTTTGCAAGAAAAGCTCGCTTTTGCCGGGATTCGAACCCCTGACCTGACCTCTAGAAGGCTTCGAGGATACCAACTAGACCACCGGGGCGACCGGGTAGGTGTGCTCGAAGGACGAGACCCGTTAGACTATTGATTGTAGGTGTGGACGTGCATACGTCATAACATTTGATTGACGTCGGTATTATTCACGGATCGACATGCGAAAATCCCGACATAACGGGAAGCCGCTCACCTTGACTCGACATCAAACACCACCGCGATCTCAACGCCATCAACACCCTCTTTTCCGTCCGTCGTGTCTTGGATTTCCAGTTCATCTTCCCACAGAGGACGCCGGGCATCGGGCTCAGGACCTACAGCGGAAGCAGCATCCTGAGGAGGCGAAGCAACCACAAGAAAAAAGCAGAAAAAACAAACGACGCAAGGCGGAGGAGCAGACACAAAAAAATGTGCACTGAAGTTGGAGCGAGGCCAACTACTGTAACTGTTGTGTGTAGCACTTGGAGAACTCGAGGGAAAAGTGAGAGTATGAGAGACAAGATCGAGAGACGATCTCGGCTTCTTCATCTAAATAGTCTATATCTCACGAGTGAGTCCCGTCTTCTTCTATCCTGTGAGGCGGCACCTTCAACGCCGTCTGTGGAAAGGAACAAGTCAACATGCATGCAGCGTATCCCCCGCAATTCTGTCTCCGGGTACCTACATCATCATCGGGCACCGCGATGAACACACCAACCGGCACCAAGAGGCCAAGGGCATATCGTACAGTTTTATGTAATACCTGCTGCTGCATGTCGGCGAGGTCGATGGCCCCGGTGCGCTGCCTCTGCGTTTCATTCTGAACTCGGATAGACCACCTCGATTGCGATTGCTGCCCCTGCTGGTCGGTGCCATGCATACAAGTGCGTGGCACGCCGCGAAAGGCGAGAAAAGAAATGCTAAGCATGCTTGTTTGTTTTGTAGTTTCAGGATATCGGCAAGTAGGTCCTTGAACGGGTGATAGACGGGCCACGGTTGGGAAAGGTGATCACCGCTGGTGCTGGTGTGTGCCCTGGATGTTTCGCATTTTTAGGACATCCGGCGGCTGTGGAGCGCGTAGCCCACCAGGGCATCACATGGTTGGTACTCCTTGACCGGTCCCAAATAGTTTGCTACAATTGGAAGCAACAGCGACGAGGTCGTCCAGTAGATTTTTCTTGTGGATTTCGGAATAACTATGATCAAGGAATATACTTCTTGTCCTACGACTGGTCGGGTTCTATTCGGACGGTGCAACTTTAGAACATGAAATGGATGGGTGGTCACGGAATCTATTAGCTTCTTCCATAACACTCCCTTCTTCCTCTCGCTCCTCGACAAGCTTTTGCTTAGACATGGGTTAGAGTGAAGGGGGGGGTCTTTCTGGCGAGCAGGGCTAGACTCACCCTCAAGGGATGACCGAAACCTTCTTGCTGCTGCGTATCCGCCGCGAGGCGTGCGTGTGGTGGTGGAGTTGGGTCGGCACTGATGGGGTCAGGCGGGAAAATGTAGATGCGCGGACCTTTCTGGCCGTCGGCTTAGGCAGTGATGCCCATATCATTTTTGTGCGTGGAGGCAGACACCATCAGAAAGGTGGACGGGCACTACACGGCCCTAGGTTTGCTAGAGGGAGCTGTATTGCCTCAGTAACCTGGCTTCGCCATCAAAGGAGGAGGGAGCAGGTGGCGACGAGCTGAACTGGGCTGGTTGACCATTCGGCGCGAGATTTTTTTTTTTCAGACCAAGAACCTTGAGTGCAATGAGGGAGAAAGCGNGAGGGAGAAAGCGAGGAACCGACTGGGAAGGACAGCAACGAGAGCGTGTACGGACGGAGAAGGTCGAGTGGCGTTTTGCTCGGACTGACTACAGCGGCGCCAGATGGAGCTGTGGCACCGGAGCATGCGGGCGACATCGACCCGTGGCGCACGGACAAACATTTATATCTGATCTGTGTTGTCAATTTTTCTCGTTTTTTTCCTGATTTTCGGTGTTCGTTCTATGTGATGACGTCGTCACCGGTTTTGTAGAGAGACCCGTCGGAGATGGCGTGGCTAACCCGGGTGCAATGACTTTGTGTCTGANGGCACCGGAGCATGCGGGCGACATCGACCCGTGGCGCACGGACAAACATTTCTGTCTGGGTGTTGTCAATTTTTTTCGTTTTTTTTTCTGACTTTCCGTGCTGGTTTTGTGTGATGACGTCGTCACCGGTTTTGTAGAGAGACCCGTCGGAGATGGCGTGGCTAACCCGGGTGCAATGACTTTGTGTCTGATCGTGGAAGACCCCTTCAATGTGGAACGATTCTTAGCTAGTGTCGATATTTTTCACTGCAGTGCCTAACACAGACGATCGGGAGAGATTCGGGTGATTGTCAATTGCTGCTATGATGGCTTTGGTTGGTTGTTCTTTTTCACTGTACGGCCGCAGACACATTCTGACAGCACTTCAGACAGCAGCGTTGTGCCCCGCCTGTTGCTTGTTCCATACCTACCATGGTGTTTTTGTACAGACAACACTTCAGACAGCAGTGTGCTGTAGTCGGCAATCTTCCTTTTTGGTATAGAGTGGGACAGGGAGGGGGTGATGGTACTGTAGTCGAACGGTGGGACGGACGTGCAGTACAGTTTTTGGGCACGAATACTTGTACGGTGCTGCAGGGATTTTTAGGTGTACCTCTTCGGGCTCTTGGATACCTTTTTCTCGTAACATGTGTGCGTGTTCTTTAGATCCTCAGATGGCTCTAGCACTTTCGTGACCACGGGCTGAGAGTCTTTGCTAGATTTTGGCATTTAGCAACTGACATACGGTTTAATGTGAAGACAACAATAACACACTTCGGTGGAGACAGAGTAGGTTGGACATCGACGAACATGTAAAAGCCTCTCCATCTATCTATCTTTTGTGTGGGAAGGGGCGCCCGATGAAACCTGTTTGCAAGTAGATTTTCACTTGAACTGCTGTTCATGAACCAGCAGGAGAATTGCACACGCGCTTACTGCATGCATCACGGAACTTTGTGTTGTGCGGACTGCGTAGGTGGAGGATGCGAAAAAGATACTGATTCGCTCCTGTTTTTGAGACCGCGGCGGCAGTGATGTAGGACAGCCGCGCACCTGCATAATAACCAGAAAAATAATTGACCCCACAAGAGATGTTTGTCCGTGCGCCACGGTTCGATGCCGTCCGCATGCTCCGGTTCCGCTACTCCGGTGCCGCTGTGGCCAGTCCTAGCACGACCAAACTCGACCCGCTCCCCTTCGTACACGCTCTCGTTGCTGTCCTTCCCAGTCGGTTCCTCGCTTTCTCCCTCGTTGCACTTAGAGTTCTTGGTCTGAAAATTCTCGCGCCGAAGGGTCAACCAGCCCAATCAGCTCGTCACCACCTGCTGCCCCCCCTCCTTTGATGGCAAAAACAGGTTACTGAGACAATACAGCTCCCTCTAGCAAAGCTAGGGCCGTGTACATAGTGCCCGTCCACCTTTCTGATGATGTCTGCCTCCGCGCACAACGATGAGATGCGCATTGCTGCCTACACCGACGGCCTGGAGGCCCGCGCATCTGCACCTTTGTACTTGACGCACCAGACCAGTGTGCCGACCCAACTCCGCCACTACGCACGCCTCGCGGCGGTTGCGCCGCAGCAAGAGGTATCCATCCCTTGAGGGTGAGTCTAGCCCTGCTCGCTAGAAAGACCCCCCCCCTCGCTATGGGTCATGCCTACGCAAAACCATCCCGAGGCAGCGAGGGGAAGAAGAGATGCATTTTTCATACCCGGGGCCAAAAGTAACATGATTTCGGGTACGCCGATCTTGAGCGTATCCGCCTACTTTCCTGCGCTCACGGCAGTGACGCAGCACCTCCCAACAAGCCCAAATCACGCAGGTGTGTTGGTTTAGGATATGGTTAGGGCCACGGTCAGATTACTAAGGCGGGTGGCCAGCAGGAGACCGCATTCAGCCATAAGTANCTCGCTAGAAAGACCCCCCCCCTCGCTATGGGTCATGCCTACGCAAAACCATCCCGAGGCAGCGAGGGGAAGAAGAGATGCATTTTTCATACCCGGGGCCAAAAGTAACATGATTTCGGGTACGCCGATCTTGAGCGTATCCGCCTACTTTCCTGCGCTCACGGCAGTGACGCAGCACCTCCCAACAAGCCCAAATCACGCAGGTGTGTTGGTTTAGGATATGGTTAGGGCCACGGTCAGATTACTAAGGCGGGTGGCCAGCAGGAGACCGCATTCAGCCATAAGTAGAAGTGTGCGCGGCCTTCACGAAATCGGCAACATGCTCGAGAGGAGGCACGCGACGGGTGATTCTGATGCGTGTCACCAGAAACGGGTACACAAGTAACCACGGACGGGTACCACGGTAACCAGAAACGGGTACTCCGCATACTTAGTTCCGGTCGTATGAACCTGGTCATATCTGACCAAAACCGGGTACCCGGTAGGATTTTTTACTNCCCCCCCCCCCCCCGGTATATACATGTTGTATATGTATATGTGTGTGTTTCCCGACTCAGGTGATCTGCGACGCGGACTACATCGTCACTGCCGCCTGCTGCAACACTCCGGGAAGCACCATCGATCGGCAGGCATAAGTGGAGGCCGACTTCGACCAGCTTGTCGAGGGTCTTCAAGGCGACTATTATGTCGTGGGAGATGCGGCGTACGGGGCAACGGACAAGATGTTTGTGCCCAGGATGCGACCTCGACGCAGACCAAGACGCGTTCAACTTCTTCCAGTCGCAAGGGCGCTTACGCATAGCGCAGACGTTTGGTATCATGGTGTGTTGGTGTAGAAATTTCGTGGGGATATCACGGGATCATGAGCGAGCCTGGTCGCGAATGGTATGCACGATTGGTGACAGATTCAGCTTGGTCGTGTTCTTTTATTTTCAGCACGAGAACAAATTTTACCGAGTATATCGGGAGATATCGCACAAACATTGCTGTAAAGGAAAGAGGTGGTTGTGAAATCAATCGCGAAACTACTTCATGCCTGAACGCCCCCCCACTCCCTGCCTTCCCCCTACATAATGCAGATGAAGCAGTGGCCCATTCTGTGGAGCCCGCTGCAGGTGCCTCTGCGCAACACCGCGAGCGTTGTGCACGCTATCACTCGGCTTCACAACTAACTCCGAAGGTGTCGTTCTAAACCGCCACCTGCCACCGCCCGGTTCTTGAATGAGGACCGAACCATCAGGAGCAACCGCTGGGTAACACCATCGTCGACACGGCCCGGCGACCTGTTCTCAGACTCGCGAGAATATGAGGGAGGACATTCGGAATAGAACTCTCATACGGCCGGCGGAAAACATCGCGCGCAACAGGCGATGGAGGACGGCCATCACTCGTCGTGGCACCGGCGAATAGTAACCTAGGGCGGGGGGGGGGGGGG